ATATATAACTAAAAACTTAAAAAGCACACTATAGCTCTATGGTCCGACACCGTTACAAGAGCTAGAATGTGAGGTTCAGGAGTTGTGAAGGTTTGTGTTAGAGTAAGGGGCTTCGGAAATGTTTATGTTAGAAGTAAGCTCATACTAATATAGAAAAAAATGTGCAGGATTGTGTATGTGTGTGCAGCTCTTTTCCTGTTTGGCACGCTGTCAGTGGCTGGCATATTCAGCTCCAAACAGCTGTAAGGTCCGCCCCTCTCCACTGTTGACCAACTCATGCAGAAGCTGTCCTTTGAGATGTGCCCAAACTCCTCACTGTTTTTGTCTTCGTGCTTATGTTATGCACATTTGAGGGGGAGACAGAAAAAAGGGAAAAGGGGAAAGAGTCGAGTTGCTTGAGTACGTGATGCAAACGATAAGCACAGTCAAGCAGGTGAAGTGTGTCAAACAGAGATGTTCTACAAGTACAGTACAAGATTTTGTGATTCATCAGCCTGTAAGCCAGAGCCTCCATCATGAGTGTAATTAATGAGTAATGGTCTTCCTCTCATCCAACCCCCGTCTGACCTACTGTTCTATGATGTCATCCTCAGTACTTCACTGTACACCAGCTCTGCTTCCCTCAGGAAGTGTTTGTGTTCATTATTTGAAGGCTTTTTACTTTTTTCCACACATACACTTTTTTCTGATTTGGTAAAAGAAACAGCAAATCAATTTCTTAACGTTCACATTGTGGTATGTTTGAAAAAAAGTTTCAACGTAGCGTATTTCAGTTGTTTTTGTTTGTACTTTGTCAAATACTGCCAACTTAGCTGTAGCTTCTTGCTCATGTTGATCAGTTGTGAGTTAAAATCAACCTCTGAACCTCCTTCCGTTGACTTTTTCATGACTTAAATGAATTCTAACCTAAATTAAAAATAATAATAATTAAAAAAAATCCACATGCCTATACCATTTCCACGTGTTTTTATTTCTTAAAGAGATTATTCACAATGTTTGATGCAGGATTAATTAGAAATATCCCTACAGTTGGTATCTTACCTGTTCTAGATACCTGCTGCACAGAGCCTACACACACCTGAACAAGGCAGGCAGCACTGTATGAGTCATGTTCTTTGACTTTCCCAGTGCTTTTAACACCATAAGACCTGCTCTGCTCTGCAGTAAGCTCCGGGACATGCAGGTGAAAGACTCGCTGGTCACCTGGATCAGAGACTGCCTCACGTGTCGACCACAGTAAGTGAGGCTGCAGAACACCACCTCAGACACCATACTGAGCAGCACAGGGGCTCCTCAGAGAACGGTCCTCTCATCGTTTCTGTTCACCCTCTACACCTCAGACTTCAGGTACAACCACAATCCTCCATCTGCAGAAGTTCTCAATGCCTCTGCCATTGTGGGCTGCATCACTGGTGACCAGGAAGCTGGATACGGAGGTGTGGTGTACAGAACCACCTGCAACTCAATGTTGGAAAAACTAAAGAGCTGCAGGTGGACTACAGGAAGAAAACCACTCTCACCCCCATCCCTATCAACATTAAGGGTACTAAGGTGGACACTGTGGACTGCTACAAGTACCTGGGGGTCCACCTAGACAATAAACTGGACTGGACAGCTAACACCAACGCCATCTACAAGAAAGGAGAGAGTCGCCTTTTTCTTCTGAGGAGACTCAGATCTTTTAACATCTGCAGGACAATGCTGCAGATGTTTTACCACTCGGTGGTCTCCAGCGTTTTCTTCTACGCTGCGGTGTGCTGGGGCAGCAGGATGAAGAAAGTTGATGCCAACAGACTCGATATACTCATCAGGAGAGCTGGCTCAGTTCTGGGAGTGGACCTGCAGTCTCTGACAGAGGTGTCTGAGCAGAGGATGCTGAGGAACCTGCTCTACATCCTGAACAACACGTCACACCCCCTGCATGACACCCTGGACTCTCACCGCAGCACCTTCAGTCGTAGACTGAGACACCGAGGTGCTGCACAGAACAAAACAGGAAGTTCTTCCTCCCTGTGGCTATCAAGCTTTTCAACTCCTCCCCCTTTCTGCACATTAAAATTACTCCTGTACTACAATAAACACTTTAATGTTTCTGACCTGCTTAGAACTTAATTGCTGGTATTTTTATATTTTCTCTTATTTTTTATATCTTGTATGATTCCTTGTGTAGATTCCTTTGTACTGAAACTCTGGCACAAAAATTTCCTGCAGCATCAATAAAGTTCTATCTTATCTTATCTCTTTTTTGAATGACATCTGTTTAGAGAATAGTTTTAGTTATTTATTTATGTTACCAGAATGATGAACTAAAAGCTAATTCAGTTAGTACTAAAAAAACCATCTCTCTAAATTTCCTGGCAGTTGATGTGAGCGCTATTCTATAAAGCTTTACATTGCTCTCATTTTTACATTGTACAATTTCTTTCAAAGAAGTCTATAGTTATTTACAAACACAAACAGAAGTGGCTGCAGCTAGATGTTGAAATTCTGGTTCAAATATAATATTTCTTCTAGAATAACAGCATATTGTGAAACTGATGGAGTTATATTAGATATTTTCAGATCCTGTTAATGTTGAAGGTTATCTAATGCCAGATCTCAAATAAAGTCTCTCGAACAAAGATGAATTGTTCTCCAAACATTACCACAGATATTTTTTAACACTCATATTGGTCTACATGACAAATTCAAAGTGTAAATGAATTAAAGCTAAATAAAATACAGCCCAGAATAAACCGACTGAATGCATGAGCCAACATTACAATATATCCTGTTTCCATTCTTCCATTCATCTCTGTCTTGCTCCATCCATGCCTGTTTAGATGTCATATTTTGTCATTTCTTCGTTGACCTATCACTTTCTGTTAGCTGTCAAAGTATAAGCCTTCATAAAATGCTGCACAATGCACACGATAAACAATTGCGCAGGAGCATCGGTGCACACAAACTCGCACACAGAACAAGGCAAAGGGAGAGGCAGAGAGGTTGGCGGCAGCTGTTGACAGATATCACAAGAGACTTATTGGGTCAAAGATCTGTTTTTCTCCACTGAAATAACTCAGTTCCTTTTTGAAAAGAAGAGGCTTGTAGCATCTATTGACACATGAATTACCATAGATACCAAGTAATGGATTTATACACTTGTAGGTGTGCTGTTATTGCTTTAGCTGAAAGATGAAAAATGAAATTTGAATTGACTGAAATTTGAATGTTTTCAATTTCCAGCAAATGTTTGATGCTGATGAGTTTTAAGGACATACCAGATGTATTTTAATAAATCATTATCACCCAAATAAAGCTGATAATAATTGGACTTTTCTGCTTGTATTGCTTTATGTTAGTTTGCTGAACTGCTGTACTGAAAGCCAGGTTTACTGCACACAGAATGTGGCACTGCTGAGTGACGGTTCTGACACTTCAGTGGGGTGCAAAGAGACAAAGTACAAAGATGTACTTGTACAAAGATTGTTGTGCAAAGCAATTTTATAGCTTTTATTTTTAAAAAAAGTAGAAAAACAGAATTAAAAGTCCAGATTTATATTCTTTGTTTGCATCGCATGTCTAACCGCACCGGCTGTCAGTCAACAGTAGAAGATAACTGGAAACAGCTGAGATGATGTAACATGCTGGACTCTGAACAATCTTGAAGCACCTAAAATCATTTTGGTATCTGACTAAGTCCATTAGTAACCTGCTCAGTGGTCATAAGCAGAATAACTCATTGCTGTTTCTTTTCCCCCTCTGGCTGTTTGTACTTCCTGTGCATGCACTTTAATCTCCACTCCTTCCAAATCTTTAATGAAGCATTGTAGGCGGGGATAACTGGACAAGCAACAAATCTCCTAATCCAAGGAGATGAAGCAACATATTTGTCATTCTGTTTTTGTAATCATCATGTAGCGCATTTATTTGACGTTTGCCTCAACCTCACCTCATTGTGTTGGACAAGAATGCAATGCAGAATATAAAATTTGGTTTGAAGTTTGCACAAAAATGTGCAGCCGTATTATTAGTAGGACAGAGCGTTTGAGATTATGATTACATTTTTTTTTACCTTGAGAAAAATTTGACCATGTCTTTATTCTCTTAGCTTAAAATGCTCCATCCTATTCACTCACCTTTGGAACCAAATTCCATTGTACCTGTCAGCTGAAATCCTAAATATATAAAAACACTTTAGTTAAAGTTTTATCTTCTTGGGCTTTTTTATGTTTGTGAAATCTGATTAGAATTTCACCAAGGATCTTAAAATAACCATGGTGGGAATGTAGCTTGAGAACATTTTAGTTTGAGCTTCTGGATCTGATGTAGCTTTTACTGACACATTAAGGACTGAGTCAGACCTCAGTCTGGCCTCGACCCTGAGACGAAGAACTTTTGTCTTTGTGTCAGACAGGAAAAGGTGACCTGTCCTCTCGTTTAGGTGCTCGACTGGCCAAACGAGACATCCGACACACAGTTCAAGGATGAGCGCAGCTCTTCAGACAGAGAGAAATGCATTTCTACATTTGTGTGTTTATCTTCACTCACACAACGTTCTGATATCAAGAATCAAAGCACAAGGAGACAATAAAGTTTAAATAAAAGCCATCACAATAATTTCTCTCTTCAAAGTTTCTTTAATCTTCATTTAGTCATAAACTGTCCCTGCATTCAAAATATCCTCATCAAACACCAACTTGGTATTCTTGCTAATTCAGAAACAAGCTCATATCAGCTGAGAGAATTAAGCTGCTTAGCTTTACAGAGATTTGGACCAACGAAGGAAAACGCGTTGGAGGCCAACAACTTTCTGGCTCGGAAATCAGACCCCCATTTCTTGGAGCTCGAGCCACAAAAACCACATATTGAGTGTGAACACACCTGTGACATGCCCTAAAACAGACTATTATTACAACAATCGAATTAAAGACAGACCGGTCCGCTAAGCAAACAAGAACATTTACCATGTGACCTCATTAATAAGTGGTCACTCAAACGCAACATGAAAACCCTAAAGGCATAAACTACCAACCTAATAACAACAACAAAGTCCATGCTCAATAATCCAGGTATACAATCCAACATTTTTCAGTCAGGTCATCTGGACAGTTTCTTTTTTTGTGCTGAAACGTTTCGCCTTCTATCCGGAAGGTTTCATCAGTCAAGGAAACACACGACAAAACTGATTCTTCCCCCAACAGCTTTCTCCAAAGTAGAACAAACCAGTTCTGCTTGTGATAAGATGGTCTCTTTGGTACGCCCCCTCCTCCATTGCTGGCCCTCTTCCTTGTTGACGACACATGTCACAAAAATCCCCAATATTATTCTAAATGCATCCATCCATTATCTTTTACCCGTTTCTTCCATTTTTTGTCACGGGGGTCACTGGTGCCCATGTCCAGCAATCACTGTGCGAAGGTCTCCAGTCCATCACAGGGACACACAGAGACAAACAACCATTCACTCTTTCACTCTCTCACCTAGGGACAATTTAGAGTTACCAATCAGTCTAACCTGCATGTTTTTGATCTGTGGGAGGAAACCGGAGTACCTGGAGAAAATCCACATATGCACAGAGAGAACATGCAAACTCCACCCAGGAAGGCCCCGGGCCGGGATATGAACCAGCGACCTTCTCGCTGAGAGGTGGCTGCTCTACCAACTGAGCCACCGTGCTGCTTATATTACTGTTTAAATAGCTTCAGATAATTTAAAGTTACTCTGTGCCAAAAGTCTGAATATTATTCCCAAATTTTAAGTGTTATTTTTTGTTTTGTTGTGTTATTTGTTCAGTGATCCTATTTGTTAATTTTTATTTTGATTTAGTTTAATTTTGTAATATATTTTTAAACAGTTTTCATTCAACCTTTATTTATTCAGGTAAATCCCATTGAGCCTCGAGGACTCATTTACAAGAGAGACCTGATTTCAACAAAGAATGATGACAACAGCGACAACAATAGACAGTTATAGAAAGGCATACAGATTTTTTTTATTTTTATTTTTTTTTACAAATAAGATAGCTTAAAAAGTAACAAAAAACAACTAGATTATAAGGTGAATGTAGAAAACTAAAAACAGGAACATCCTGATGCATGCTCAATAATCCAGGTAGATCCAAGTCTGCATTGCATGGTCCCTTTATTAATATCTTAGTATGATTGGAGATTCCTTATAAATAAGTGGATACAAGTGTAGAAATTTAATATACAGCAAGAATAAATACATTAGGTAATCTAGATATTCTTGATAGATTATTTTTGGTGCCCCATAATGAGAGCTTTAAGTTGAAATGCAGTTATCGCCCTTTTGTCACCTCATCTTATCTGCTACACCATCTTTTTTTTACAGATTTTTACTGTAAAGCCTGAATACTAAAGTATCCAATTTTATAAATCTCCTGAACTGATTGGACCGTTTCCGTTTTACTGAGGTGAGATTCTGTCGAACAAATATTAACAGTTAATATTTCACCTGTTGCACAAACTTCAGTTTAGACAAACAGTTTAACTCTGGCTTGTTTGATGAACTAATGGCTCATCTGAGTTTAACAAGAAATTAGTGGATCATCTTTCATAGTGGTTCATGTGAATATAACCTTTTCACTGCTCTCAGTTTTTCAAAATAAAATAATTCCCAGAAAAATATAATATTCTTATCATAAGTGCTTATGTTTGACAGGAAGTGCTACAGCTTGCTGCTGTTGTTTATTTAGGCTGGCAAACAGCCATAAATATCTATGTAAATAACTGTAATGCAAAACTATTTTTAATTTTTTCATCACTTGCTATGAAAGTTTTGTGACTGGGGATGTTTTAGGAGTACACTAATCCACTCTGGTCTTAGCTCAATGTCGACTAGCCATTAGCTCATCAGTCCCATCAGAATAAAACTTGTTTCTCCAAAGTGACATTAATCAAAAAGCTTACTGCTGCAGGTAAGATGCTATTTGTTTATGACTTTCTATAGAACTCCACTTCAAAGCTCTGAACATCTACTTGAAGAACTTTTGACCGTTCTTCACTTTTCTAAGAGGTTCCTTCAAGTGTTGTAATATTTAGTTTTTGGCAACATTTGTAAACTCTTCTAACTCTTAATAACAAAGGGCTACACTTGCACTAACTGACAAATGCCCTGCTGTGTGCACCCAGCGTCTTCTTCCACAGCATTCTGCTCCCAGCTCCTGTAGGCCCTCGGAGTAAACAGCCACCGAAACCTAACAGGAGATTAACAAAAGGACACTGTTACCAAAAGTGATTGGGAATTTTCTTCTGGTCGGTGATGCATACAGCTGCGTGGAACAGAGAGATGGAGGGAAAGATGAAGCTGCACTGTGCTTGGCACAAAACGCTCCCTTTGCAGGAGAGGATTATCTGAAGCAAAATGAGCTGCTGATTTTGTTGCAGCGACTCTGGAGCTTCCAGTGAAGCGTTCTCCTTAGACTTTTTTATTCTTCACTTCTTTGTCCAGCTCCATCTATGGTCTGCGAAGTAGAAGGGATGTAGCTGTGAAGATTATTATCACAGCTTTAAAAAATTGCTGAGAAAATCCTGCTTTTCTAAGGATAACACAACGGTAGTGTGAGTGCAATGTAATTTTTTTATTACATTTATCAAAATTAATTCAGCTTAGCATAATAATAGAAGCTCCGTGTTTCCTTTTTCTGATCCGTCTTTGTCATTTTGTTTTGCATTTAACTAGTTGGCGTAAAATTGCCCCTGTTTGCACACTGGCGAGTTGCAGCGGTGCGAGCTAGTGAGACTGTGTGTGTGTGTGTGTGCGTGCGTGTGTGTGTTGGTTATGCTTCTGCCTGAGTGGAGTGAATGAGATATTTTTAAACTACAATCACATACATTTATATTCCACGCTCACATCCAGCCTCCGAAAACGTCAACACACTCGTGCACAGAAGTGATTATTCTAGTTCAGAGTCGCGTGTGCAGCCGTGCAAATACAAACATGCACATCTATAAACTGGTAGTACTGTATAAAAATAAAGGCATTAAAAAACAAAGGCTGGCCAATTAATACGTTTAGTTTTTAACTTATGGAAATCAAACAAACGATTAGCAAATTGGCAGCACGGTAGATTGGTGGTTAGCAGCAAGACGGTCCTGGGTTCAATCCCTGGGTTGGACCTGGTGTCTTTCTGTGTGTAGTTTACATGTTCTCGTGTCTGCATGGGTTTTCCCTGGGTGCTCTGGTCTTCTCTTACAAAAACATACATGTTAGTTGCCTTCAGACCCAGGCCTCCCAATCAAAAGACACAAGTGATCTCAATGGGATTCGTTTGCTTAAATAAAGGTTAATAAAATCCAACAACATTCGGACCACAAATATAAATCGAGTGCAATTTGAAACGTGACATGTTGCCGAATTAGAAACAAACAGGATGCTAAAATAACTGTTTGTGAGAAAAAGACCATCAGGATACTTGTTTTAGACAAAAGTGATCACAAATATATTTTTCATTCATTCAACCTTTATTTAGACAGGTTAATCCCATTGAGCCTCGGGGACTCATTTACAAGAGAGACCTGATTTTAAGAGAGTGATGACAACAGTGGACAACAAAGACAATTATAGACAATCATAAAAGATGCGTACAAATTGAGATTTTTTTTTTTTTAACCAAGTAAAAATAAAAAGGTATTTAAAAGAAAATGTAACAAAAATCAGCTGGATTGTAGGGCGGTGTATATTAAACCCTAGCACTGCTCAAAGAAATGCATATCACCCTCAGGGTTGTGTAGGATGTTGTTGAAGCGACTTTGTGTAAATGTTGACAGGGTGTGGGTACTGAGAGCTTGGAAGGTTTGGAGACATTTATTTTATTTCACATGGAGCCAATGCTGAGATTCTGACATTAGAGAAATGTCTCCATCAGCACTCCGGCTGCAGTGATTTCAATCTGATGAGGATTTTTTCACTGAACTTTTGGAACATCAACATGAGGAGTTACAGTCATTAAACCTGAAAGTAACAAAAGCATGAACTAATTATTCAGCATCAACTTGAAGGAAGACACTTCTGATTTTAGCTATTTTAATTAAAGAAAGCAGTCTGCTAGGCCTTCTTAATGCGGATTAAAAGACACGCGCTGGATAAAGATAAGCCCTAGATCATTCAACCCTTTGTGTCACTGTATGTCAGATTTCCACATCAACAATTCAGCTCAAACTTTATTTAGCAACAGTTTAATTCAAGCTCGAGTTTGACAAATTATGCATCGTATCCTCTGTTTTTCAAGTACTCATCAAATTTATGTCACATTTCACCACTTGAGATTTTAGTTTTAATTGGAAATTTTTTTACAGTTTACAGGGAGTCTCATTGAGCCACGAGAACTCACTTTCAAGAGAGACCTGTTTAGGGAGCAGATGGGGGTTAAGGGCCTTGCTCATGGGCCCAGAGTGGAGCGAATGAGGGTGGGGGCAGGTGTGGGTGCTTCACCTACCCCACCCACATTTTTGATATTGTCGGTACCGGGGCTTGAACCGGCGAGCTTCCGATCACAGGCCCACCTTCTCTAACCTCTGCGCCACCACTCCCCGATAAAATAATAAAATAAATAATAAAACTAATAAATATAAAAAAATAAATAATTAAATAATAATAAAATATTCACGTTTAGTTTGTTTACTTTAAATTATACACTATCTTGCCAAACGTATTTGCTTACCCATCCAATTCATTGCGTTCAGGTGTTCCAGTCACTTCCATGGCCACATGTGTATAAAATCAAGCACCTACTGTAAGCATGCAGAGTGTTTCTACAAACATTTGTGAAAGTACGGGGTCGCTCTCAGGAGCTCACAGAGCGAGCTCAGCGGATACTGAGGCACATAGTTCACTGAGGTTACCATCGTTCTGCAGTCAGTAGCTACAGACCTCCAAACTTCATGTGTCCTTAAGATGAGCTCAAGAACAGTGTGCTTCATGGAATGGGTTTCCATGACCGAGCACCTGCATCCAAGCCTTACATAATGAAGAGCAAGGCAACTCATCGGATGCAGTGGTGTAAAGCACACCACCACTGGACAGTAGAGCAGTGTAGACGTGTTATCCGTAGTGACAAATCACGCTTCTCTGCATGGCAATCTGACGGATGAGCATGTATGGCAGTTGCCAGGAGAACGGTACTTGTCCGACTGCCCTGTGCCAAGTGTGATGTTTGTGTGTGTATGGTGTAGGATTGTTTTTCAGGAGTTGGGCTCGACCACCTAGTTCCAGTGAAAGGAACGTGTAATGCTTTAGCATACCAAGACATTTTGGACAAGTTTGTGGTCCTAACTTTGTGGGAACAGTTTAGGGGAAGACACGGATGAGTGACTGACCTGCACAGAGTCCTGATCTTAACTCGATAGACCACCTTTGGGATGAACTAGAATGCAGACTACAAACAAGGCCTTCTCGTCCAACATCATTGTCTTATGTGCTTCTGGAAGAACGGTCCAAAATTCCCATAAACACAGTCCTAAGCCTGTAGAAAGTCCTCCCAGAAGAGTTGGAGCTGCAAAAGGTGGTCCAGCATCATATTAAACCCCATTGATTAAGAATGGGAATTCTGAATTCTAGAATTGCGCCGCTCAAGGTGGCTGCATGTTGGAGCAGCTCTGTTACTTTCATTCTGAGTTATTGCTTTTGAAAGCTTTAATTCCTATTTTCCTGGATGTAAATTACTTTTTTCAGATGATCGTGTACTCTGGTATCAGATGTTGTGCAGTTGGCATCATTTTTACTGAACCCTTTTTACTTTTGGGCATTTGTTATGAGGCGTAACCGTGGCAACAAGGTGTTTTTTTAACAACCAGAATCAGCAGATTAACATCTCAAAAGCTCAAATATCTCACTACAGCCCCAAATCCCAGACAAGTTGAAAAGGAGGTGCCGTGGACGACTTCCCGTCAACCTGGCGGCGGTACTCGAGTACCTGACCGCTGAGATCTTGGAGGTGGTTGGAAACTTGGCTCGTGACAACAAGAGGACCGGGATCATCCCCTGGCACCTTCAGCTGTCTATGGTGACAAGGAGCTTGGCAGACTACTGGGAGGAGTAACCATTGCACAGGGAAGAATTCTGCCCGGTATTCGGTCAGTCCTGCTGCCCAGGAAGACCGAGAGGCCTGCTAGGTCTGACAGCAAACTGGATCTGGGTGGACAGGTTGGTATCTGTGGCCAGATTCTTTGGATTTGCTGCAGGAGATCCTTCCTGCCCACAGCTATCAGCATCTATAACAACTCTTGAATGAAACCAGGATGATGAGCTACAACAACACTTAATTTCCATCCATCCATCCATCCATTATCTTTACCCGTTTTTTCCATTTGGGTCACGGGGGTCGCTGGTCCCCATGTCCAGCAATCACTGTGCGAGGGGTGGGGTGCACCCTGGACGGGTTGTAAGTCCATCACAGGGACACATAGAGACAAACGAGACAAACAACCATTCAGTCTCTCACTCACACCTAGGGACAATTTAGAGTTACCAATCAGTCTAACATGCATGTTTTTGGTCTGTGGGAGGAAACTGGAGTACCCGGAGAAAACCCACGCATGCACGGAGAGAACATGCAAACTCCACCTAGAAAGGCCCCTGGACCAGGATTTGAACCGGCAACCTTCTCGCTGAGAGGCAGCAGCTCTACCAGTTGTGCCACCGTGCTGCCCACTTAATTTCCCTCTGGGATTAATAAAGTATTTTTGAATTGAATTGAATGTCACTCAAGTTCATATGTGTGTGAAGCGACATGAGCAAATCCTTTTGACAATAAAATGTATATTTAAATTTAGGGGAATCCCTGCTATATTAAATCTGTATCTTGCTCTGTTTAATCTTTCTTCTGGGTTCACAAAGAATATTATAGTTCTTTCCTCCTCTTTGAGTCTAGCAGGAGGAAAGGGTGAACATCTGAGACCCGTTTTTTTCCCCTCAGCCTCAAGCAGCGACTTGTCTCTGCATCAATTCCTGTCAACATGAATGTAGCAGGTGGACGTGTGGGTGTGTGTGCAGTATCTGTGAGGAACTTTGCAAAAATGTGGCTTGCCATTAATCTGCAAATATATATTTTATTTTTTTCTAATTTTTGTGACAATAAGCTACTTTATCTGCTGTTTTGGTAAATATTCTGCCATATATTTTTAGTTTTTACCATTTTAGATATACATTTTTTTCATCTCCAATGGCTACATTGTGTATTTTATGTCCCTGGTTCATGTTTTCTGTTCTTCCCAACAAAGACTGTTATTGAACAATAAATTAGACTCCTGGTGGTCAAGACTGAAGCCATTAAATCATTTTATAATCCTCAGTTTTTCTCATCACCAGCCTCCTCCACATTTTTATTGGAGTACTCTACTCTTACTTGAGAAATGATTCTTATCCACATGCACTCTTAAATCTGTAGATAAATAAACCAGTTGCAGTTTTTTTTTATTTTTATTCTAGATCTTGAACTGGCTTGAAAGCACATTAATTTTCAGATTACTGCTGTAGTTTTCTTCGCCATGAAGGTCAGTGACGATAAAGGATGGCAGAGATGTTTCAGAGCTTTGTTTACACCATGGACAGTTTCATTCCCATGCTCCTGCTTCTCCCTCGTCTTCCCTGTCTCTGCCGTTGCTTTGCCTCGCTCTCCTCCTGCTCTCCTATCTCGTTCCCCGAGGAGCCCAGCTGGGAGAGGCAGATAAACATACGGGGGCACGGGGCTTAGCACCCACCCTCCTTCCACAATGCCACGCTCTCCTGTTCAAAGGCCCCAGCCAGAAATGAGAGGGACTAAACCCCGAGCTGAAAATCACAGACAGAGGAGGCAGCTGCGAGAGCGAGAGGGTACTGAAATAAAGAGAGCGATGTTTATCTGCAGGTCTTTGTGATAATTAGGAAGAAGGAATTAAATCTCACACTCTTCTGGTCACGTTTCATCATTCGGTTTGTTAGAAGGCAAATGGTTGAGCTGTATATGGAGCCCAAAATGGTGAGTGAACAGGAAGAGGTTTTCAGGAGGGGGTTCCAGCTTTGGTGTGGCACGGTGGCTCAGATGGTAGAGCTGTTGCCTCTCAGAGAGAAAGTTGCTGGTTCAAATCCTGGCCTTGGGCCTTTCTGGGTGGAGTTTGCATGTTCTCTCCGTGCATGCGTGGGTTTTCCCCAGGTACTCCAATTTCCTGCCACAGACCAAAAACATGCATGTTAGGTGATTGGTAACTCTAAATTGTCCCTAGGTGTGAGTGAGAGAGTGAATGGTTGTTTGTCTCGTTTGTATTTATGTGTCTCTGTGATGGACTGGAGACCTGTCAATGGGTCACCCCCCCCCCCCCCACACACACACACACACACACACACACAATGACTGCTGGACATGGGCACCAGTGACCCGACAAAAAGTAGCAGGTAAAGATAATGGATGGATAAATGGATGGTTCCAGCTTTGCACCTTGTGACAGGTGCAGCAGCATTCAGTCTCCACCTGGAGAAGAGAAGAAACTAGACTTCCCTGTTAGCTTTCATCTAAGCTGGTTTAACCCAGTCAGACCAAAGACGGTTGTTTATGTGATCCAGATCAGTCCTACATAGTATCAGTATTGTGGAGTCATGCTTCACTGCTCTGTATACTAACACAAACCTGTCCTAAATCAACTGAATGGGGAAAAAAACTTGAGAGACAAAGACATCTGTCTTCTATTTAGTACTAGTAAAACATCATTGACATAAAAACAAACTTTGATTTTGATCAGTTGGCAGTTCCATCCATCTTCGCCCACCTCTCCCTTTTCAGGTCAGTGGAGTCATTACCAGCTATCACCGTGCCAGAGGCGGGGTACACGCTGGACCAGTCGCAATTCCATCACAATATACATATATATATAAATATATAAATAAATATATATATATATATATATATATATATATATATATATATATATATATGTATGTATATGTTTTCTCAACAGGGGCAGCACGGTGGCGCAACTGGTAGAGCTGCTGCCTCTCAGCAAGAAGGTCCTTGGTTCAAACCCCGGTCCAGGGGCCTTTCTGGGTGGAGTTTGCATGTTCTCTCCGTGTATGCGTGGGTTTTCTCCGGGTGCTCCGGTTTCCTCCCACAGACCAAAAACATGCATGTTAGGCTGATTGGTAACTCTAAATTGTCCCTAGGTGTGAGTGAGAGAGTGAATGGTTGTTTGTCTCGTTTGTCTCTATGTGTCCCTGTGATGGACTTGCGACCCGTCCAGGGTGTACTCCGCCCCTCGCACAGTGATTGCTGGACATGGGCACCAGCGACCCCCGTGACCCAAAATGGAATAAACGGGTAAAGATAATGGATGGATGTTTTCTCAACAAGTTTTTTTTTTTTTCTTTCTTTTTTCGGCTGCTCCCTTCTTCAGGGGTCACCACAGCGAACTACTTTGTAAGTTGCACCAAGACTTGGCAATTATTTTTACGTAGGATGTCCTTCCTGACACAACCACAGACCACCGAGCTACCACAGCCCTCTGTGTGGAGCAGGGAGCTGCTTTCTGGGGCACTTGGGGGAGCAGATGATGGAGGTTAAGGGCCTTAACCAAGTGGGGCAAATGAGGGTGGAGACAGGTGTGGGTGCTTCATTAATCCCACCCACATTTCGATGTCGTCTGTACCGGGAGTTGAACCGGCAACCTTCCAAGCACAAGCCCACCTTCTCTAACCTCTGCACCACCACTCCCTTTTCCTCAACAATATGAACTGTAAATAAAAAAGATAATAGAAGAAAGCACAGAAGCAGGCCTGTGTGTAACGGAAGATGATTCCTGAGCTCCTGAGTTGCTGAATTTGTCAAATTACCCACATCAACAACAACACAACAAAGGGCCAAAAATTATGTTCTGGCTTTTGGTTTTGGTGTGCCACCCCAGAATTATGAAGCCTCTGTGGAAACATGCTGTCACTTTTGCATTACACAGTTATTTACATTGTTTTCAATTGCTAACACAAACAGTGGCAATTGTTTGTAGCACTTCCTCTGCAGGCTGTTGCCTCTCAGAGAGAAGATCGCTGGTTCAAACCCTGGCCTGGGGCCTTTCTGGGTGGAGTTTGCATGTTCTCTCAGTGCACTCGTGGGTTTTCTCCAGGTACTCCGGTTTCCATCTAAAATATTATAATATTTCTGCTGGAATAGTCATGTCAGTTAAAGCTGATGTCAAGCTGGTTTACAACGTTGCATTTGCACAAACTGTTCTGCATGTTTTTAGATTGAAGTTGTTTTTAATTCCTCTCAGATTCATTCATTGTTACAATTTTAGTAAAATATTGTACATAAAAATTCAATCAACACTGTTTTATAAGAAATGTAATAATTACTATAAAACCTTGTAAAGCATCTTTTTCATTTTAGGTGAGGACATCACTTGTTAGTAGTATTGCGTTGTTCAATCTGGTTTCAGGAAACAACACAGCACAACCACTGCTTCACTGAATCTTAATGATGTTGTTGAAGCACTGGATGCTAAGGATTATTGTGCTGCACTTTTCTTAGACCTGTCTAAAGATTTTGACACTGTGGATCATAACATCTTGTGTCATAAACTCTCAGAAATCGGTTTCTCAGAACACACCATCGGTTGGTTCTCTATCTCTCAGACTGGAGGCAATGTGTTCAACATAATGGTACTTCCTCCAGTTATTTAACAGTCAACAATGGTGTACCACAAGGCTCAGTCTTAGGACCCACCCTCTTTACAATCTACATACGTAATGCAGGTCAGAGCATCCCTGATGCATCCATACATTTCTATGTTGTTGACACAGTTGTTTATTGTCGAGCTAAAACAGTTGAAAAGGCTTTCCAGCTTTTGAAATCTGCATTCAACATCATCCAGACAGATTTGTTCAGCCTCAAACTTGTCCTAAATGCCGACAAAACCAAAGGAATGCTTTTTTCAAATAGGAAGTTGGTCCCAGCAGTTCTTCCTCTGATTTCATCCTCAAATGATGTCCCTATTGAGTTTGTTGATTCCTATAAATATTTGGGTATCTTGGTCGACTCGCAACTCTCTTAAGCTCCATATGGAAAACTTGGTAAAGAAACTGAAAGTTTAACTGGGTTTCTTTTTCAGAAACAGATCCTGTCTAACTATGAATGCTAGGAAACGCCTTGTGTCTGTGACTTTCCTTCCCTCCATTGATTACGGTGACATTATTTACATGAACGCTCCTACAAGAACCCTGCAGATGTTGGATGTTGTCTATCACGGTGTACTAAGATTCATAACTGGCTGTGATTATCGTACCCATCATTGCACCCTGTATTCATTGGTTAACTGGACATCATTAACTTCACGCAGATTCTCTCACTGGTACATTTTCATTTTTAAATCACTTCTTGGTCTGCTGCCTTCATACATCTCCTCCTACATGTCTCTGCATGAGTGCAGCTACAGCGTGCACTCTCAGGACATTATTACCTGCAGTGTTCCCTCAGTGCGGACTGAACTAGGCAAAAGGGTCTTCTCCTACTCTGCTCCTGTTTCCTGGAATATCTTACAAAAAGATCTGAAGCTCTTGCCCTTGACCTCTCTAAGTGGTTTTAAGAATCTGTTGGACTCCTGGCAGGGACCAATGCAGACATGTTCCTGTTTTAGTTTTCTACATTCACCTTAGAATCTAGCTGTTTTTTGTTACTTTTATTTTTTAACAATCCTATTTGTTAAAAAAAAAAATCTGTATGACTTTTTATAACTGTTTATTGTTGTTGCTGTTGTCCATTGTTGTCATCATTCTGTAACGAACCCCCTTATGTTTGGACCAAAATCACCGCACAAAGTAAAAATTAAATGACATTTGTTTTCTAGGTGAAATATTGCAGATTGGGCCGGTTCTGGTACAGGTTCCGGATCAGGGACAAGTCTATGAGACAGAGATCGGTTAGTGGTTGTGCAGGAGACTATAGGGAGCAGAAAAGTCCAATAAGGAGGACCACTAACCGTCTCAGATGATCTTGGGGGTTTTGGAGACTGAAGAAGTCCAAACTGATCTGGACCGCTGCTGGAGGAGCTGAGTCCGGTGAGGGGCTGCGGCCGGCCGCAGTAACAGGCAGGTGATGAATCCGTCAGTCGCAGAGTCGTGGTCCAACGAGCCAGGATCCAAAACCAAAGAGCAGATGACTGAAGGGAACGAAGGAGTAAGCATAGTTGAGGAGGCGTAGTTGTGCAGACGAAGGTCAGAGCCGAAGACAGAAGGCTTAATAATCCAAGGGATCGAGCGAGAGACGATGTCCAGGTGAGTCGTGGGTCCAGGAGCCGGGAGGTCGAGCCGAGAGGTAAGGACAGGATCCAGAAGCGGGACAGGAACTAGGAGAACATGTAAACTATGACAGGGAAACACTATGGATAGAGGGGAACAAAACAGGATCATGAACGCGAGGTATCTACTTGCAGAAAACTGTTTTCAACTACCGGGTACCGAAGAGGAGAAAGAGTGAAGCTTATATAGGGTGAGAGTGACGGGTGCAGCCAGTTGAGCTCTAATCAGCTGCTGCTGGCTGCTGTGAAGACAGGTCCGAGATACTGTTGTGGATAAGTTTAAAGCTGGATTTGGATACAAAAAGATTTCCCAAGCTTTAAACATCCCAAGGAGCAATGTGCAAACAATCATATTGAAATGGAAGGAGTATCAGACCACTCACTGCAAATCTACCAAGACCTGGCCGTCCCTCTACAGTAAACTTTCATCTCGAACAAGGAGAAGACTGATCAGAGATGCAGCCAAGAGGCCCATGATCACTCTGGATGAACTGCAGAGATCTACAGCTGAGGTGGGAGAGTCTGTCCATAGGACAACAATCAGCCGTACACTGCACAAATCTGGCCTTCATGGAAGAGTGGCAAGAAGAAAGCCATTTCTCAAAGATATCCATAAAAAGTGTTATTTAAAGTTTGCCACAAGCACCTGGGAGACACACCAAACATGTGGAAGAAGGTGCTCTGGTCACATGAAACCAAAATCAAACTGTTTGGCCACAATGCAAAACTATATGTTTGGCGTAAAAGCAACACAGCTCATCACCCTGAACACACCATCCCCACTGTCAAACATGGTGGTGGTAGCATCATGGTTTGGGCCTGCTTTTTGTCAGCAGGGACAGGGAAGATGGTCAGAATTGATGGGAAGATGGATGGAGCCAAATACTGGACCATCCTGGAAGAAAACCTGTTTGAGTCTGCAAGAGACCTGAGACTGGGACGGAGATTTATCTTCCAACAAGACAAAGATCCAAAACATAAAGCCAAATCTACAATGGAATGGTTCACAAAAAAACGTACCCAGGTGTTGGAATGGTCAAGTCAAAGTCCAGACCTGAATCCAATCGAGAATCTGTGGAAAGAGCTGAAGACTGCTGTTCACAAACGCTCTCCATCCAACCTCACTGAGCTCGAGCTGTTTTGCAAAAAGAATGGGCAGAACTTCAGTGTCTCCATGTGAAAAACTGATAGAGACGTACCCCAAGAGACTTGCAGCTGGAACTGCAGCAAAAGGCAGCGCTACAAAGTATTAACACAAGGGGGCCGAATAATATTGCATGCCCCACTTTTCAGTTTTTATTTGTTAAAAAAGTTTGACACATCTAATAAATTTCATTCCACTTCACGATTGTGTCCCACTTGTTGTTGATTCTTCACAAAAAATTAAAATTTTACATCTTTATGTTTTTGAAGCCTGAAATGTGGCAAAAGGTTGAAAAGTTCAAGGGGGCAGAATACTTTCGCAAGGCACTGTAGCTGCGGGTAGTCTGCATTTTTGTCTACGACCTGGCACATTTTACCATATTTTAACAATGTATTTATTTGAATGGTGTGAGTGGAGTTTACTATTAGAAAAACATTTATGCAGACATTTAATTTCTATGCCCTCAAATCATGTTTAGACACATTCCCAGAATAAGACCCCAGTGATGTGATAGCGCCCTCCAGAGGCCGAGGACCTTACAAAACATCTGGCCAGCTGCTGCATTTCCAACTGCCTACAATATGGAAACAAGAAGGTTCATGCTAACCAGGCATCAGCTCTGATTATGGTGATTATGGTTCTGAGAACTCTTGAGGCCGTGGGAGGTTTATATGGGCTAAAGAGTGCACTGAATACAGTGTGTGTCTGTGTGTGTGTGTGTGTGTGTGTGTGTGTGTGTGTGTGTGTGTGTGTGTGTGTCTGGGGGGGGGGGGGTATGGTTGCTGATATTAATAACAATTCTCTTCATTTTACATTTTTTCTTTTGCCTTTTAGTTTACGTTTTGAGAAGTTTTAAGAAAAAGAAAATCCAACACCAAAGTAGATCATCTAAAAACATACTTTGTGCAGTGTTGTAGGAAAGAAACAATGAACACATTTGCATTTAAATGAAAATACACAGTTTTTGCATCTTTTTTCATGAAATTCAGAAATCTCAGTTTAGTTTTATACATTATATGACTTCATGTCTATAAAAAATATTTAAATTCTTTCATGTATCATCATCTGCCACAAATGCTTCTCAGCTATATGGTCTGAAGTTAAAGGAATAGAGTAGTCGCGCATTTATCGTGGGGGCTCTGTACCCTGAAGTCCCGCGATAAGTGAAAAAACGCAAATTAGTAGTAGTAATTTATTTTAGTATTTATATACAGTAGTTTTGATCTTTGGAAGTGAGGTTTGTAGAAAAAATATGGAAGAATAAGGAGAATTGTAGATTATTTCTGACTGGATTAACAAGTTTATGGCTAAACCCAATTATATTTCTGCTGTCAAACAATTCCGATCTTTTAAAAAAAAATCATAGGAATCCATCCAAAAGCTATTTTATAAATTGTTAGGGGGAGTTTCGTTCACAGAAATTAGATAAGGTGAGACTGTGATTGAGACGTTGTCGGTTTGAATCCCCTAATCGTTACATCAACTATTTGGGTGAGGAAGGTGAAGCACACACACCTGCCTCCACCCTCATTTGCCCCACTCTGGACCCGTGAACAAGTCCTTTACAGGGACATTTAAAAACAAACAAGATGTGCAACTATTCATACTCTCACTCACGCCGAGAGACAAGAATTGCAAAAACGAAGCATGAACGACTCAAAAGCTTAAAGATGCATTTTTAATGCCCATTACTGTATCTGTCTGCATCAGAGACAGAGGAATAAAGATACAACATGAAAATATTTTTTTTTATTGTATGTTATCTGTTGCGCTTTACCGTATCTGAAACAAATAAAAAATATATAATAATAAAATATATTTGTTTGTCTCCTGATCATCAGCTAGCTCAGTTTCAAATTCTCAGGTCTTTAATCACGTGAATTCACTCCTAAAACAAATAAATGTGGACTGATGTGTCTCTGAGGAAAACGTCAGACTCTACGAGTGTGGGTTAAAAATACATTGGTCTGTCGCTGTGGATAATACAGAAACACTGCAGTAATCTGTTGCCCCACTTTGTTTTAATCGGAGAATAACTAGATTGTTCCTGTGTGTTTTCCTGTTTCTTGCAGCTGTTTGCCATCTTTGCCTTTGCGACATGTGGGGGCTACACGGGGCAGCTGCGGGTCAGTGTGGACTGCATGGAGAAGGCCAGCAGCAACTTGAGCATCCCTATTGACTTTGCTTATCCTTTCAGGTGAATGGGACACATGACTGTGCTCGTTCATGATCTGAGTTTGATTTGTAGGCGTATTACTGACCACACTGTCGGAATGACAATGATTCACCTTTTAGATCTTCCTGTGTGTGTTTCAGGCTGTACCAGGTGTCATTTGATGCGCCGGCATGTGAAGCCATGAGGAGAGAGCAAGTTTTCCTTGCTGGAGACTTTTCTTCCTCTGCTGAGTTCTTTGTCACCATTGCTGTCTTTGCCTTCCTGTATTCCCTCATGGCCGCTGTGGGCTACATATTCTTCTTGAATAAGTACCGTGAAAACAGTCAAAGACCACTCATTGTGAGTAGAGTGGACACTACCCCACATCTTAAACTGATTCTACCAGGAAACGATGACTATATTAAACCCCACTGTCTTGTGTCTCTCAGGATTTTGTAGTGACTGTGGTGTTTTCCTTCATGTGGCTGGTCAGCTCCTCTGCGTGGGCCAAGGCCCTGTCTGATGTGAAGGTGGCCACTGACCCAGATGAGGTGCAGCTTTTAATCCCTGCCTGCAAAATCCCAACTAACAAGTGTGGCTCCATACACGGACCTCGCTGGTCCGGGCTCAACACCTCAGTGGTAAGGTCAAAAGTTGTCTCTCTCTGGGATTTTAGAAATAGGAGGAAAAGAAAACGTGAAAAATGTAAATGTAAAAAAAAATGTATATTCTTTGGTTAACCCTATTTTAATATAGAGATTATATGGTTTGTTTTATTATCTCAGGTCTCTCTTGTAAATGATTTTTATAATATAGTCCCAAAATATATCATCATCACAATACAAGTGAGTGCAGTATCAACAATGCAAAGGTTAACTTGGGCTGTAAGCATTATATTTCAAGTAGCATGCATTTATATTCTGCATGTTAATAAAATATATGACCAATATATGACCACCAATGACTCACAGGCATTGATGCCCACACTTGATTTAGATAAATAATTCTCAAACTGGGGCCCGGGGTTCGCGAACCGGTACTTGGGGGTCCACAAAAATAATAATAATAATAATAATA